TTTATATTTCAAATTCATAATTTATCTAATCGTTAGAATTTTTATCTAAATCGTCAAAAAAATTGTATCATAGATAATCTCTTAATAATTGGTAGTAAATTTTGTATTTGTTATTGAAATAATAAACCTGTCAAAATGATAAAAAGTTGATTAAAATTTATTGTAAAAACCTGAAATCCCTATTCCAGGAAATCATACAACACAGCCTTCTTTAAACCCGTACAAAATTTTCATTTCTGGCAAAATTCGTTCTTCGATAAGCCTATCAGTTTCTTTCACTAATTTGCTCTTTTTTCTAGTTTTCCCGGATTTTTCCTTAATTCCCGGACTGTGTACCAAAAAGGCGTTATCCAGAACCATCAAATCGTAATCAAGCACACACAAAATGAACCCATTTGTCATTTTATTCCTTTTCCCTTCCCAACTCAGCCTTTCGTCATACAGTGGTTCCAAATTGGTACCGACATAAAAAGGTTCCCAATGTTTGTGCTCGTGGATCCTCTTCGCGACTCGAAAAACCCCAAAATTTTGCGATTCGTTTAGTTGTTTCCATTTTTCAAATTTGGGGATTTTGTGACAAGAGTAGCAAATCTCCTTGTGGAAATAAACCGCCAGGTTTTTGTCCAACATTTCCCGGAGTTGTGTCTTATTTTCCGGGATTTTTTCCCCGGATTTTACCTCAAAAACCGGCAAGGGGAACACGCGGGGGTACGGCCGGTCAAGCGGTGGTTCATCCCGGGCAATCATGTCCAGGAATTTCGGGATAAATCCGGGATTCGGTAACAGTTCAATATCCAGGGCTAAAACAAAGTGGGTTGTGGCCATTTCCCGTGCCACATTACGGCCTACGTTGATGGGGTAAACCAACCCCTTTTCGTTTTTGTACGTGGAAATTTCACGAAACGGGGGGTTTTGTTCACAGTCGAAGGCTTCAACAGGCCAGGAAACCTTGAAAAATTGTCAAAAAATCCCCAAAATTTTGGGCAAACTCACCGTTTCCGGGGTATGATCCATGTCGAAAAAAATATGAAACGTCACAAATTTTCTAATGAGTTTGTTGGTGCAATCTCGTAAATACCGAATCGAGTCAAGGGTGCGTTGGAAATCTGTTCCAGGGGCGTACAAGGCGACACTGATCGGCCCCTCCCATCTCTCCACCAATGGTAGCAAATTTTCGATGAAAGTAAAGTCGCCTTGTGTTGTTACTGTGATGCTTTCGTGGCATTTGAAGCGATTTGAAGCCACCACGTAATTGGACAATACGAAAAATTTGCCTTTTTGGACGGTTTGGGACACTATTGGTTTGTCTAAACACTTGGTGATTTTTTTTACCTTGGCTAGAGTCCCCAAATCTGGGGAATTTTCAACTAATTTGGTAGGTTTGTGGTCACCAAAGTCACTTTTACTTCGTCCACTAAACATAACCAAATATAGCATAACTAGAATGGCAAAATAAATAACAACTATTATAAAACGTTTTTTGATGACGATCATTGTGCGGTAGATAATTGCTTGATGAAATTATTATTTTTGTGTCTGGCTTTCCTCTTATCTTTCTTTTATCAAACTATTGATGAAATACTGACATTTTTGCAAATAAGACAAATAAAAATTATATTATTGGTGAAATTAGAAAAAAATAAATATGAAATAAAATTTGTTATAAAAATAATTCATTTTAATTGATGACAATCCTGAAAATAACAAATAACGCAGATCACTGCACACATGATTTGCGCACTTTGCAAGCTTTAAGATCATTTGGATATGGCATATTTTCCACTTAAAAAATTCATTAGAAAAAAAAGGTGAAGTGAAGAGTGAGATTGAAAATTTAAGGGTATTAAAGAAAGTTTTGCTTTTGTTCTAGTAACTGGAAATATATGTTGGCAAAACTGGCGCTATTGTTGCAAAATTACTCAAATTTTTCCAATTTTTAATCTAATCTTTTCTTATCATTTTCCTTTAGTTGTTCTCTTGTCTAGAATTAAAAATTCGTCGAATGAACAGCAACAAAAAGTAAATTCACATACAGTAAGTGCACTTCTTCATTCGAAAAAAGTCTTCAAATTAACCACCGATAAATAAAAATCACAAAATAGTTGATTTTGTTTCTGATTTTATATAATGTTTTTTGATTAAAATAAGCCAATATTTTGCATATTTTGGCAACTTCGTGCATATTTTCTTCAAATCACAATTTTCCGATTAAAAATTTCATTTCAAGTTAAAAATTAGCCAGTTTAAGAAAAATGATCCGATCACAAAATATGTTAAAAAGAAAACAACCAGTAATTTGTAAGCCAAACTCAAAAAATTAGTACCCTGCAGAGTGTTTCCTTTTTAAATTGTATTGAACTTAGCGTTTTTTTTAATAATTTGTTTCCAAAAAATAATAATTAATATAAATTAAAGTAATATAAAAAATGATCTTATTTTAAGAATAAAATTTTGTTTTGTTTTTGAGTTATTCGATTTTTGTTGTCTAAATTGCTATATACCAAGTGAATAAAAAGTATGGAACCAAACGTTTTTTGCTTAAACTATTTATTTTTTGAAAAAACTAATGAATGATAAAGTACTATAAAAATGTGATGATTTAACAAGAATAAAATTTTTCGAAATTTCGTTTTGTTTTTGAGTTTTACAAAAAAAATATTTTTTTAAATGGCAACCCACTATAAAATCATTTTTTTCATAAAAGCTATACTCTAAGGATTACAACTATCTGCTTTATATT